CCGTCTCTCTAGGAACCCGTGTCTCCCGTCTCTCTCGGAACCCGTGTCTCTCTAGGAACCCGTGTCTCACGTCTCTCTAGGAACCCGTGTCTCCCGTCTCTCTAGGAACCCGTGTCTCCCGTCTCTCTAGGAACCCGTGTCTCCCGTCTCTCTAGGAACCCGTGTCTCCCGTCTCTCTAGGAACCCGTGTCTCCCGTCTCTCTAGGAACCCGTGTCACACGTCTCTCTAGGAACCCGCGTCTCCCGTCTCTCTAGGAACCCGCGTCTCCCGTCTCTTTAGGAACCCGTGTCTCCCGTCTCTCTAGGAACCCGTGTCTCTCTAGGAACCCGTGTCTCCTGTCTCTCTAGGAACCCGTGTCTCCCGTCTCTCTAGGAACCCGTGTCTCCCGTCTCTCTAGGAACCCGTGTCTCCCGTCTCTCTAGGAACCCGTGTCTCCCATCTCTCTAGGAACCCGCGTCTCCCGTCTCTCTAGGAACCCGTGTCTCCCGTCTCTCTACGAACCCGTGTCTCCCGTCTCTCTAGGAACCCGTGTCTCCCGTCTCTCTAAGAACCCGTGTCTCCTGTCTCTCTAGGAACCCGTGTCTCCCGTCTCTCTAGGAACCCGTGTCTCCCGTCTCTCTAGGAACCCACGTCTCCCGTCTCTCTAGGAACCCGTGTCTCCCGTCTCTCTAGGAACCCGTGTCTCCCGTCTCTCTAGGAACCCGTGTCTCCCATCTCTCTAGGAACCCGCGTCTCCCGTCTCTCTAGGAACCCGCGTCTCCTGTCTCTCTAGGAACCCGTGTCTCCCGTCTCTCTAGGAACCCGTGTCTCCCGTCTCTCTAGGAACCCGTGTCTCCCGTCTCTCTAGGAACCCGTGTCTCCCGTCTCTCTAGGAACCCGTGTCTCCCGTCTGTCTAGGAACCCGTGTCTCCCGTCTCTCGGAACCCGCGTCTCCCACAGAACCTGCGTCTCCCACGGAACCCGTGTCTCCCGTCTCTCTAGGAACCCGTGTCTCTCGTCCCTAGGAACCCGCGTCTCCCACAGAACCTGCGTCTCCCACAGAACCCGCGTCTCCCGTCTCTCTAGGAACCCGTGTCTCTCGTCCCTAGGAACCCGCGTCTCCCACAGAACCTGCGTCTCCCACAGAACCCGCGTCTCCCACGGAGCCGGCGTCTCCCGTCTCTCAGAACCCGCGTCTCTCTCGGAACCCACATTGCCTGTTCACGTTATAAATTGCATTGTTATAGACACCCAGCGTGATATATAAACACCTTGCACTATGTACAGACACCGAGAACAATCGCCAGACGGTCCGCACAACACAGAGACACTCATCATCATCGTACAGACGCCCTCACTAAAGGTGGTACACACACCGCACGCTATGGAGCAACAGCACGTACGGCGTAGAGAGCCAGACGCCCGGCAGGTAACCGAGAGCACCACGTACACTCGCTCCCCTCCGAGCACACATTCAGCGGGAGTAGAGCGCAGGGTGCAAGGTGGCCACTGCACTACCAGCACTCACTGGTGCACCACCACCCACCCTGCTGCACCACCACCACACTGCTGCACCACCACCACACTGCTGTACCACCACCACCCTGCTGCACCACCACCACCCTGCTGTACCACCACTCACTGGTGCACCACCACCACCCTGCTGCACCACCACCACCCTGCTGCACCACCACCACACTGCTGCACCACCACCACCCTGCTGTACCACCACTCACTGCTGCACCACCACCACCCTGCTGTACCACCACCATCCTGCTGTACCACCACCCACTGCTGCACCACCACCACCCTGCTGCACCACCACCACCCTGCTGCACCACCACCACCACCACCACCCTGCTGCACCACAACCACCACCTTGCTGCACCACAACCACCACCCTGCTGCACAACCACCACCCTGCTGCACCACCACCACCCTGCTGCACCACAACCACCACCCTGCTGCACCACCACCACCACCCTGCTGCACCAGGGCACCCAACGCAAGCAGCAGGGGGAGGAGAAGCAGGGGGAAGGCTAGGAGGAGGAGGAGGAGGGGGGTAAGGAGTAGGAGGAAGATGAGCGTGACACGGGAGGGGCCTGATGAATGTCGATCGGTGTGGGGGTGTGCTGGGGGGGGTGTGCTGGGGGGGCATCGTTGATCGTGGGCCGGGAAGGAATTAAAATAAAAAATGAAAAACGACAAAAGGGGTAAAAAAAACTATAACAAAAACGCAGAGGGGGAAGCGGGAAAACCAAACCACCCACCAGCGCCGCCAATCATCCCCGCACGAAGGTCACGCGGCTCGCGCCAAATTACCTCTCTCCCTCCGCCTGGGCGGGCGCGCGACACAATCCGCGACAATGCGGCCTAATCTGCGCGCAGGTAAACATTTAGAGGCGCAGCCCTTGAGCCGCCGCCGCCGCCGCCGCCGGCGCCGGCGCCGCCGGCGGCGCGAGGACACGCGCCATAAAGAGGCAGGTAATTGGTTTGACGGGCGACACCTGATGCCCCGTGGCGTGTGAGCAGGGGAGGGCCGCGGGGGGCCCCGCGCCACGTGAACCCATCCGGGGGGAGAGGCGCAGAGAGAGAGAGGCGCAGAGAGAGAGAGGCGCAGAGAGAGAGAGGCGCAGAGAGAGAGAGGCGCAGAGAGAGAGAGGCGCAGAGAGAGAGGCGCAGAGAGAGAGGCGCAGAGAGAGAGGCGCAGAGAGAGAGGCGCAGAGAGAGAGGCGCAGAGAGAGAGAGGCGCAGAGAGAGAGGCGCAGAGAGAGAGGCGCAGAGAGAGAGGCGCAGAGAGAGAGGCGCAGAGAGAGAGGCGCAGAGAGAGAGGCGCAGAGAGAGAGGCGCAGAGAGAGAGGCGCGCGCTCGACGACACACGGCTCTCTCCTGTGTATGTGCGTGCGTGAGCGTGCGTGTGTGAGTGTGCGTGTGTGAGCGTGCGTGTGAGCACGTGAGCGTGTGTGTGTGAGCGTGTGTGTGAGCACGTGTGTGTGAGCATGTGTGTGTGAGCGTGTGTGTGTGAGCACGTGAGCGTGTGTGTGCGAGCGTGTGTGCGAGCGTGTGTGCGTGAGCGTGTGTGAGTGTGTGTGCGTGCGTGAGCGTGTGTGTGCGAGTGTGCGTGTGTGCGAGCGTGCGTGTGTGCGAGCGTGCGTGTGTGCGAGCGTGTGTGTGCGTGTGTGCGTGTGTGCGAGCGTGTGTGCGAGCGTGTGTGCGAGCGTGTGTGCGTGTGTGAGCGTGTGTGCGTGCGTGAGCGTGCGTGAGCGTGTGTGTGCGAGTGTGCGTGTGTGCGAGCGTGCGTGTGTGCGAGCGTGCGTGTGTGCGAGTGTGCGTGTGTGCGAGCGTGTGTGTGCGTGTGTGCGTGTGTGCGAACGTGTGTGCGAGCGTGTGTGCGAGCGTGTGTGTGAGCGTGTGTGTGAGCGTGTGTACGCGTGCGTGCGAGCGTGTGTGTGAGCGTGCGTGCGAGCGTGTGTGTGTCAGCGTGTGTGTGAGCGTGTGTGTGTCAGCGTGTGTGTGAGCGTGTGTGTGTGAGCGCGTGTGTGTGAGCGTGCGTGCGTCAGCGTGTGTGTGAGCGTGTGTGGGGGGGAGCGGCGGCGGAGCGGTTGGAGCACTGCACTACGGACCTGGCAACCCGGGTTCGATTCCCCGTCACGGCCATCACCGGTGACCATTATCCGAACCGGTCATGGGCCTCCCTTAGGTCGACTCAGACTCAAATGAGTACCTGGTGCGATGTTTAAACATCGCCACTAGGGAGACAAAGGCGGCCGGGCGTGGTGCTGGCCACCCGCCCCCTCGTGTGCCGTGCCGGCCTTCACAGGTGCTGCTCGCTAACAGCACTTGCCCCTACAGTCTGTTACAGGCTACACGGAGGGGATCTTTGTCTTTGTGTTTGTGTGCCGCATCACGGCACACACCACAGCGGGACACCGCGAGACTTGAAGGACTCTGCAGCAACGGAGAGCCGGGACAGCTCGCTGTCACCCCGTGCTCCGTTTGGTGCCGATGATTCACCTTCTAAAACACAATCTGGCCGTGTCTCGCACACCCCCAGAAAGGGGCAACGCGCACCCCCCCATGAACCCCGGGTCAAGAGCCACCGGTGCAGCGCGGGTGGAGGAGGAGACCCTGGGAGGGGCCCTCGCGACACCTCCCCCCCCCCGGGGCATCCCCTCCGGACAGCAGCGCCCCACAGCCTTGCGGCAGCAGGAGCCACGGCGGCTGCCCCCGTGGCTCCCGCGAGGTTCCGCGGCAGTGGACGGCGGCGTGGAGCGGTGGTGTCGTGGTTGGCGCGCGTATGGGCGAGCGTGTGGGTGAGTGGGTGAGCGTGTGGGTGAGCGTGTGGTTGAGTGGGTCAGCGTGTGGGCGAGCGTGTGGGTGAGTGGGTGAGCGTGTGGGCGAGCGTGTGGGTGAGTGGGTGAACGTATGGGCGAGCGTGTGGGTGAGTGGGTGAGCGTGTGGGTGAGTGGGTGAGCGTGTGGGTGAGCGTGTGGGTGAGCGTGTGGGTGAGTGGGTGAGCGTATGGATGAGCGAGTGAGTGGGTGACTGCGTGGGTGAGCGAGTGGGTGGGTGACTGTGTGGGTGGGTGAGCGTATGCGTGAGCGAGTGGGTGAGTGGGTGAGCGTATGGGTGAGCGTGTGGGTGAGTGGGTGAGCGAATGTATGAACGTGTGGGTGAGTGGGTGAGCGTATGTGTGAGCGTGTGGGTGAGTGGGTGAGCGTATGTGTGAGCGTGTGGGTGAGTGGGTGAGCGTATGTGTGAGCGTGTGGGTGAGTGGGTGAGTGTATGGGTGAGCGAGTGGGTGAGCACGAGGATGAGTGTATGTGTGAGAGCGTGGGTGAGTGGGTGAGTGTATGGGTGAGCGAGTGGGTGAGTGGGTGAGTGTATGGGTGAGCGAGTGGATGAGTGGGTGAGCGAATGGGTGAGCGTGTGGGTGAGTGGGTGAGCGTATGTGTGAGCGTGTGGGTGAGCGCGAGGATGAGTGCGCATGGGTGGGTGGGTGAGCGGCGCTCGTGCTCACCTGCGGCACAGCTCACCGAAGAGGCCGCTGGGATTGAGGGCTCCGCTCCCCACGCCACGCATGGCGCTGAGGACGTGGAGCAGGCTGGAGGAGAGCGGCCCAGCAGGGCCCAGCGTGAGAGACAGAGCTCCCTGTAGAGACACACACAGGGTGAGAGACAGAGACACACACAGAGTGAGAGACAGATACACACACAGGGTGAGAGACAGAGACACACACAGAGTGAGAGACAGAGACACACACAGGGGGAGAGACAGAGACACACACAGGGGGAGAGACAGAGACACACACAGGGGGAGAGACAGAGACACACACAGGGGGAGAGACAGAGACACACACAGGGGGAGAGACAGAGACACACACAGGGTGAGAGACAGAGACACACACAGGGTGAGAGACAGCTCTCTGTTGTGTGGCAAGTGTAGTCGGGTGTAGTGGTGAGTGGTGATTAGTTGTGAGTAGTGAGTGGTGAGTGATGGCGAGTAGTGTTGAGTGGAGATTAGTTTCGAGTAGTGAGTGGTAGCGAGTAGTGGTGAGTGGTGATTAGTTGTGAGTAGTGAGTGGTGAGTAGTGGTGAGTGGTGATTAGTTGTGAGTAGTGAGTGATGGTGTGTCGTGTTGAGTGGTGATGAGTTGTGAGTAGTGAGTGATGGTGTGTCGTGTTGAGTGGTGATGAGTTGTGAGTAGTGAGTGATGGTGTGTCGTAGCGAGTGGTGATTAGTTGTGAGTAGTGAGTGATGGTGTGTAGTGTTGAGTGGTGATGAGTTGTGAGTAGTGAGTGATGGTGTGTCGTGTTGAGTGGTGATGAGTTGTGAGTGGTGAGTGATGGTGTGTCGTGTTGAGTGGTGATGAGTTGTGAGTAGTGAGTGATGGTGTGTCGTAGCGAGTGGTGATTAGTTGTGAGTAGTGAGTGATGGTGTGTAGTGCTGAGTGGTGATTAGTTGTGAGTAGTGATGCGTGGTGGTGAGTAGCGGTGGACTGGTGAGTAGTTGTGAGTAGTGGTGCGTGGTGGTGTGTAGTGGCGAGTGGAGATTAGTTGTGAGTAGTGAGTGATGGTGAGTAGTGTTGAGTGGTGATTAGTTGTGAGTAGTGAGCGGTGCGTAGTGGTGAGTAGCGGTGGACTGGTGAGTAGTGAGTGGTGAGTAGTGGTGCGTGGTGGTGTGTAGTGGCGAGTGGAGATTAGTTGTGAGTAATGAGTGATGGTGAGTAGTGTTGAGTGGTGATTAGTAGTGAGTAGTGAGTGGTGAGTAGTGTTGAGTGGTGATGGGTTGTGAGTAGTGAGCGGTGCGTGGTGGTGAGGAGCGGTGGACTGGTGAGTAGCGAGTGGTGAGGCTCTCACGAGCGAGGGGGGCTGCACGGTGAGGAGAGCTCCGCTCGCCGTGTCTCTCAGCGCCGTGGCCAGCAGGGGAGTCTGAGCCAGGTTCTAGACGGGACGCGGGGAACGGCAGGTAACCACGGGATCACGTCACCCACGTCGCCGGGTAGCTGGGTAACTGTGTACAGGGGTAGCTGGGTAACTGTGTACAGGGGTAGCTGTGTACAGGGGTAGCTGCGTAACTGTGTACAGGGGTAGCTGGGTAACTGTGTACAGGGGTAACTGTGTACAGGGGTAGCTGGGTAACTGTGTACAGGGGTAGCTGGGTAACTGTGTAACAAGGGTAGCTGGGTAACTGTGTACAGGGTTAGCTGTGTACAGGGGTAGCTGTGTACAGGGGTAGCTGGGTAACTGTGTACAGGGGTAGCTGGGTAACTGTGTAACAAGGGTAGCTGGGTAACTGTATGCAAGGGTAGCGTGGTAACTGTGTACAGGGGTAACTGTGTACAGGGATAGCTGGGTAACTGTGTACAGGGGTAGCTGGGTAACTGTGTAACAAGGGTAGCTGGGTAACTGTATGCAAGGGTAGCTGGGTAACTGTGTACAGGGGTAACTGTGTACAGGGGTAGCTGGGTAACTGTGTACAGGGGTAGCTGGGTAACTGTGTAACAAGGGTAGCTGGGTAACTCTGTACAGGGTTAGCTGGGTAACTGTGTACAGGGGTAGCTGGGTAACTGTGTACAGGGTTAGCTGGTAACTGTGTACAGGGGTAGCTGGGTAACTGTGTACAGGGGTAACTGTGTACAGGGGTAGCAGGGTAACTATGTACAGGGGTAGCAGGGTAACTGTGTACAGGGGTAGCTGGGTAACTGTGTACAGGGGTAGCTGGGTAACTGTGTACAAGGGTAGCTGGGTAACTGTGTACAGGGGTAGCTGGGTAACTGTGTACAGGGGTAGCTGGGTAACTGTGTAACAAGGGTAGCTGGGTAGCTGTGTAACAAGGGTAGCTGGGTAACTGTGTACAGGTGTAGCTGTGTACACGGATAGCTGGGTAACTCTGTACAGGGGTAACTGTGTATAGGGGTAGCTGGGTAACTGTCTACAGGGGTAGCTGGGTAACTGTGTACAGGGGTAGCTGGGTAACTGTGTACAGGGGTAGCTGTGTACAGGGATAGCTGGGTAACTGTGTACAGGGTTAGCTGGGTAACTGTGTACAGGGGTAGCTGGGTAACTGTGTACCAGGGTAGCTGGGTAACTGTGTACAGGGGTAGCTGAGTAACTGTGTAACAAGGGTAGCTGGGTAACTGTATGCAAGGGTAGCTGGGTAACTGTGTACAGGGGTAACTGTGTACAGGGATAGCTGGGTAACTGTGTACAGGGGTAGCAGGGTAACTGTGTACAGGGGTAGCTGGGTAACTGTGTACAAGGGTAGCTGGGTAACTGTGTAACAAGGGTAGCTGGGTAACTGTGTACAGGGGTAGCAGGGTAACTGTGTACAGGGATAGCTGGGTAACTGTGTACAGGGGTAGCTGGGAAACTGTCTACAAGGGTAGCTGGATAACTGTGTACAGGGGTAGCTGGGTAACTGTGTAACAAGGGTAGCTGGGTAACTGTGTACAGGGCTAGCTGGGTAACTGTGTACAGGGGTAGCTGGGTAACTGTGTACAGGGGTAGCTGGGTAACTGTGTACAGGGGTAACTGTGTACAGGGGTAGCTGGGCAACTGTGTACAGGGGTAGCTGGGTAACTGTGTACAGGGGTAGCTGGGTAACTGTGTACAGGGGTAGCTGGGCAACTGTGTACAGGGTAGCTGGGTAACTGTACAGGGGTAGCTGGGTAACTGTGTACAGGGGTAGCTGGGTAACTGTGTAACAAGGGTAGCTGGGTAACTGTGTACAGGGGTAGCTGGGTAACTGTGTAAAAGGGTAGCTGGGTAACTGTGTACAGGGGTAGCTGGGTAACTGTGTACAGGGGTAGCTGGGTAACTGTGTACAGGCGTAGCTGAGTAACTGTGTACAAGGGTAGCTGGGTAACTGTGTACAAGGGTAACTGTGTACAGGGGTAGCTGGGTAACTGTGTAACAAGGGTAGCTGTGTAACAAGGGTAGCTGGGTAACTGTGTAAAAGGGTAGCTGGGTAACTGTGTACAGGGGTAGCTGGGTAACTGTGTACAGGGGTAGCTGGGTAACTGTGTACAGGGGTAGCTGGGTAACTGTGTACAGGGGTAGCTGGGCAACTGTGTACAGGGGTAGCTGGGTAACTGTACAGGGGTAGCTGGGTAACTGTGTACAGGGGTAGCTGGGTAACTGTGTAACAAGGGTAGCTGGGTAACTGTGTACAGGGGTAGCTGGGTAACTGTGTAAAAGGGTAGCTGGGTAACTGTGTACAGGGGTAGCTGGGTAACTGTGTACAGGGGTAGCTGGGTAACTGTGTACAGGCGTAGCTGAGTAACTGTGTACAAGGGTAGCTGGGTAACTGTGTACAAGGGTAACTGTGTACAGGGGTAGCTGGGTAACTGTGTAACAAGGGTAGCTGTGTAACAAGGGTAGCTGGGTAACTGTGTACAGGTGTAGCTGTGTACACGGATAGCTGGGTAACTGTGTACAGGGGTAACTGTGTAACAAGGGTAGCTGGGTAACTGTGTACAGGGGTAGCTGAGTAACTGTGTAACAAGGGTAGCTGGGTAACTGTATGCAAGGGTAGCTGGGTAACTGTGTACAGGGGTAACTGTGTACAGGGATAGCTGGGTAACTGTGTACAGGGGTAGCAGGGTAACTGTGTACAGGGGTAGCTGGGTAACTGTGTAACAAGGGTAGCTGGGTAACTGTGTACAGGGGTAGCAGGGTAACTGTGTACAGGGATAGCTGGGTAACTGTGTACAGGGGTAGCTGGGTAACTGTCTACAAGGGTAGCTGGATAACTGTGTACAGGGGTAGCTGGGTAACTGTGTAACAAGGGTAGCTGGGTAACTGTGTACAGGGGTAGCTGGGCAACTGTGTACAGGGGTAGCTGGGTAACTGTACAGGGGTAGCTGGGTAACTGTGTACAGGGGTAGCTGGGTAACTGTGTAACAAGGGTAGCTGGGTAACTGTGTACAGGGGTAGCTGGGTAACTGTGTACAGGGGTAGCTGGGTAACTGTGTACAGGGGTAGCTGGGTAACTGTGTAACAAGGGTAGCTGGGTAACTGTGTACAGGGGTAGCTGGGTAACTGTGTAAAAGGGTAGCTGGGTAACTGTGTACAGGGGTAGCTGGGTAACTGTGTACAGGGGTAGCTGGGTAACTGTGTACAGGCGTAGCTGAGTAACTGTGTACAAGGGTAACTGTGTACAGGGGTAGCTGGGTAACTGTGTAACAAGGGTAGCTGTGTAACAAGGGTAGCTGGGTAACTGTGTACAGGTGTAGCTGTGTACACGGATAGCTGGGTAACTGTGTACAGGGGTAACTGTGTACAGGGGTAGCTGGGTAACTGTGTACAGGGGTAACTGTGTACAGGGGTAGCTGGGTAACTGTGAACAAGGGTAGCTGGATAACTGTACAGGGGTAGCTGGGTAACTATGTACAGGGGTAGCTGGGTAACTGTGTACAGGGATAACTGGGTAACTGTGTACAGGGGTAGCTGGGTAACTGTGTACAGGGGTAGCTGGGTAACTGTGTACAGGGGTAGCTGGGTAACTGTGTACAGGGTTAGCTGGGTAACTGTGTACAGGGGTAGCTGGCTAACTGTGTACAGGGATAACTGGGCAACTGTGTACAGGGGTAGCTGGGTAACTGTGTACAGGGGTAGCTGGGTAACTGTGTACAGGGGTAGCTGGCTAACTGTGTACAGGGGTAGCTGGGTAACTGTGTACAGGGGTAGCTGTGTACACGGATAGCTGGGTAACTGTGTACAGGTGTAGCTGTGTACACAGATAGCTGGGTAACTGTGTACAGGGGTAGCTGGGTAACCGTGATGAGGGGTGAGTGGGTAACGGGGGTGGCCTCACCTGCGTCACGGCGTTGAAGAAGCACGTGTTGCCCAGGTTGCTAAGTCCCCGCACAGCGCACGGGAGGGGCCGAGCCCCAGGGCCCCGCGGGGTCAGGGGAGGGGAGGGGCTGCCCGCCCCCTCCTGCCCCCCCACCTCGGCCACCGCCGCCGATCCTGGACGGAGAGGGTCCACTGGGTGAAGCGACCACCACGGTTAACGTCGAGCGGGGCTGAACAACTTCGCGGGCGCAAACGCAGGCGCCCCGTTATTTTAACGCTCCATTACGATCGTCACACTTTGCCAAAGGAAAGCCTCGCGGAGTCTCGTTCTTCCGGGAGGGTTTGTGCCGAGGTTTGCCGCAGGATGCTGCTGCTGCTCATGTGAGAGCCATTCGAGTGGCCCCGAGGGGTGATTGACCGGTGGGGTGTTAACTTTTTTTATTAAAATGTGGAGCGCGACGCCGGCTGCTCCTGCGGATGACAGTCACGGGATCATCGCTGTCCACCCTGAGCGAGGACGCGCGACGCCGCCGCCGCAAGGGGAAACACCGGGGCGGCCAGCCGGATTCGAAACCTTGAGGCTCTGCGACACGTGGCGAACGCGCGACCACTAGGCCAGCGCGTCACATGCGGTGCCACACGCGGACACGCACACATTGACACGCCGACACGCGGACACACCGAGGTGCACACACTGGTGTACGGAAACGCAGAGCGTGACACGGACACAATGACACATCGAGATGCACATTGATGTGCATGGACACTCCGAAACACTGACACACGGAGATTCACATACTGACACGCATACGCACGCACCAACAAGGACATACCTACACACGGTGACACGAACACTGACACACGGAGACGCACACACCGATACCGACGCACTTAACACACACAAACGAATGCACCGACACACGGACACAGGGGATACACACACACACACGGAGAGGCAAGCTGACGCACGCACATACAGAGCGGCACAGGGGTGCACGCCGCGCGTGCTGGCCCTCCGCTCACCGTAGGGGGCGGTGCTGGCTGCCCGGGGTCGCCCGGGGTCGCCGGGGGTCGCCCCGCATGGGCCATTAGGCACGAGTGCCCACGCCCACCCCAACTCCCCCCCCCCTTCACCCCCGCTCACTGCTGTCGTGCGGCACGCGGGCAACATCACCGACTCGCTCACTCACTCGCTCGCCTGGCCTTCCACTCGCTGGGTGTCCCACTCGCCTACCCTCCCACTCAACCATCCATCCACCCAGCCAACCAGCCAACCAGCCGGCCTCCCACCCACCCACCCAGTCGTCTATCCACGCAACCGCTCACTCAAACATCCAGCGAACCACGTAACTACCCACCAATCCACGTAACTACTCACCAACCCACGTAACTACTCACCAACCCACGTAACTACTCACCCACCGCCTCCCATCCACCCTGCACCACCACCACCGCCATGAAACTTGCCATGAGTGCGGCCCCGTCACCCGCGGCACCCACTCAACCGTCCACCCACGCACCCAACCTTCAACTCACCCACCCATCCACCCATCCACACATCCACACATCCCGCCCGACACTCCCACACGCCCGCCCGCCACCACCACCACCGCCGCCACCATTAAGCACACCACCGTCACACCAGCCACACACAATCCTTCGCTTTCAATGCGCGCGCTTCTGCCTGGCTGCTCCCGCACTGAGGGGCGCAGTGGGGATGACCATTAATACTCGGGGGGTGGGGGGAGCGGCGGGAGGCACGGGGAGTGAGACAGAAGAGAAGAAAGGGAGAGTTAATGAAATAGGGGAAATGAAGACGTAAAGTCGGAGGAGGCGGTGGAGTCGGTTGAAGAGCTGACAGAAGAGCTGACAGAACGGCTGCACAGCGAGCCAGATCACCGTCACATGCGCGGCGCGGCTTGGGGGCGGGGGGGGGGGGGGGCTACGACACCACCCACCGCTGGCACGGCGACACCAGCTAGAGCACCAGTGGCATGTGCCCACACACGGGGACAAGAAAGACGGAGATCCCCGAAACAGCCTTCAGCTCGCTTTGAGCACCTTTGAAGGCCGGCACGGCACACTAAGGGGTGGGGGGTGGCCAACACCACGACTGGCTGCATTTGTCTCCCCAGTGGCGATGTTTACACACCTGCACCAGGTACTCATTTGAGGCCGAGTCGACCTATGGGAGGCCCAGGACCGGTTCAGATAATCGTCGCCGGCGTTGGCCGTGAGCGGGAATCGAACCCGGGTCGCCGGGTTTGTGGCGCAGCGCTGAACCGACATGCTACCGCTCCCCCCACAAGGACACACACACACCGACGGACAGACACACACGAAACCCCACACCCACCCCACGCGTGAGAGCTCACCCCGTCCCTTGATGATCACAGCCTTCAACCCCTAACGACCAAAACGGCAGCCAAAGCAGCTTAATCAATTCATGGGGGCGGGGGTGGATGGGATCCGCGCGCGCGCGCACACACACACACACACACGCTCACGCACTGGCACGCACACAAACGCACACACACACACACACACGCGCTCACGCACTGGCACGCACACAAACGCACACACACGCTGGCACGCACTGTGAAAGCTATTTTTTCTGAACGTTGCTGAAAGGATGAACTTGGATGTCAGAGTGTGAATTAACAACGGAGCACTGGTGCCTGTCTATGTGGAGGGGAACGAGAAGAATTGGGCTGTGTGTTAGTGTGTGCGTGTGTATAGTGGGGAGGGGTGGTGCAGCGGTTAGCACGCTGAGCTACGAACCCGGCGACCCGGGTTCGACTCCCGCTCATAGCCACCACTACCACCAGTGACGATTATCTGAAACGGTCCTGGGCCTCCCCTAGGTCGACTCAGCCTCAAATGAGTACCTGGTGCGGTGTGTAAACATCACCACCTAGAGACAAAGGCGGCCGGGCGTGTTGCTGGCCACCCACTCCTCGTGTGCCAAACCGGCCTTCTTAGGTGTTCGCTAACAGCACTTGCCCCTAAAGTCTGTTAAGGCTATACGGTGGACCTTTGTCTTTGCATATGGGGAGCGGTGACGCAGTGGTTATCGCACTGCGCTTAGAAGCCGACAATTAGAGTTCGATCCATGCTCACGGCCAAACATCAGTGACGAATATCTGAACAGGTCCTGGTCTCCCCTAGGTAAACTCAGTCTTAAATGAGTTAGCTGGGTATATTGTCTCATCCAATACTCTACCCGCACTGGTTTGAAACATTCAGGCTGCCCTGACAACGATCCATCCTGGGTCTAACCAGGCAGGATTGTGCGAGGAGCTCACAAATCCTTGAAAGATCTGGACACATTCCCACGAGTGAGATTCTCCGACAGACAAGGCTGCGTTGGCTGGGTCATGTAGCCCGCATGCCCAGAAACCACATAAATGGGCCAGGAACGGGCTGGAGAAGCGATGGACTGATCAGGTACAGGAGGATGTGGAGCTGAGTGGACTTGCCGATGACTGGTACCAGCGGTGTCAAGATCGGCCTCTGTGGAGGAGGCTCGTGAAGGACGCTGCTACTGGGCAGTTGGAGGCAGCCATCCTCAAACAACAGCGGAGGGCGGAGGAGCGACGCTCACAACAACGGGCGGAGCGCCGGGCGGCGAAAACGCAGCGAGTTGGCACAGCGGGGAGCACGGGTGGTGGGTCTGCCGATCCTCTCAGTCAACCCATGGCACCTGGGTCTATCCTGCGAACCTCCTGTCAGCGAGCCTTCGGCACTTCACGTGGCCGCGGAATGGACCTGGCCTGGCACAGGCCTGGCACAGGCCTGGCACAGGCCTGGCACAGGCCTGGCACAGGCCTGGCACAGGCCTGGCACAGGCGTCACTCAGCGGCGGCCGTTGTTGTTGGTGTAAACTTCTTGTTGCACTTCTTTCGCACGGTACGTAGCCAACCGAGCTCATCGGAGGTGTGCGAGTACCTTTGGCCTGGGAGACCGGGGCGGCGAGCTTGCGGATCATCGCCACCGTCTGCGCGAGCACTCGGCGCTTGGCAATCTCCACCTCGTCGTCGCAGGCATAGCACCTGTGTGATCGCACCACCACCACCACGAGGAGGAGGAGGGGCAGGAGGGGGAGGGTTAGCGGACAGGGATACTGATGAAGTGTGAGTTCGGGTTAGGAATTGGGGTTACGGGTTCGTTTCAATATGGGGTAGAGATTAGGGTTTAGGCATTAGACCGACGGAAAGGTTGCATGCTACTCCAACTACTGACTACAAATGCGTCGCTGCAGATAGTCACTGCGCGCGTCCATGCAGGGAGGCCTCACTGACTCTCAAGACTCTTTTTCAAAGGTAATGCTTGGGACTAGAGGTAGCGCTTGGGGTTAGAGGTAGCGCTAGCGGCTAGGGGTAGCGCTAGCGGCTAGGGGTAGCGCTAGGGGCTAGGGGTAGCGCTAGGGGCTAGAGGTAGCGCAAGGGGCTAGGGGTAGCACTAGGGGCTAGGGGTAGTACTAGGGGCTAGGGGTAGCACTAGGGGCTAGGGGTAGCGCTAGGGGCTAGAGGTAGCGCTAGCGGCTAGGGGTAGCGCTAGGGGTAGCACTAGGGGCTAGGGGTAGCGCAAGGGGTTAGAGGTAGCGCAAGGGGTTAGAGGTAGCGCAAGGGGTTAGAGGTAGCGCAAGGGGCTAGGGGTAGCGCTAGAGGCTAGAGGTAGCGCTAGGGGCTAGGGGTAGCGCTAGAGGTAGCGCTAGGGGCTAGGGGTAGCGCTAGAGGCTAGAGGTAGCGCTAGGGGCTAGGGGTAGCGCTAGGGGCTAGGGGTAGCGCTAGGGGCTAGGGGCTAGGGGTAGCGCAAGGGGTTAGAGGTAGCGCTTGCGGCTAGGGGTAGCGCTAGGGGTAGTGCTAGGGGCTAGGGGTAGCGCTAGGGGCTAGAGGTAGCGCTAGGGGCTAGGGGTAGCGCTAGGAGCTAGGGGTAGCGCTAGGGGTAGCGCTTGGGGCTAGGAGTAGCGCTAGAGGCTAGAGGTAGCGCTAGGGGCTAGGGGTAGCGCTAGGGGTAGCGCTTGGGGCTAGGGGTAGTGCTAGGGGCTAGAGGTAGCGCTAGGGGCTAGGGGTAGCGCTAGGGGCTAGGGACTAGAGGTAGCGCTAGGGGCTAGGGGTAGCGCTAGGGGCTAGGGGCTAGAGGTAGCGCTAGAGGCTAGGGGTAGCACTAGGGGCTATGGGTAGCGCCAGGGGCTAGGGGCTAGAGGTAGCGCTAGGGGCTAGGGGTAGTGCTAGGGGCTAGGGGTAGCGCTAGGGGCTAGGGGTAGTGCTAGGGGCTAGGGGTAGCGCTAGGGGCTAGGGGTAGTGCTAGGGGCTAGGGGTAGTGCTAGGGGCTAGGGGTAGTGCTAGGGGCTAGGGGTAGCGCTAGGGGCTAGGGGTAGTGCTAGGGGCTAGGGGTAGCGCTAGGGGCTAGGGGTAGTGCTAGCGGCTAGGGGTAGCGCTAGGGGATAGGGGTAGCGCTTGGGGCTAGGGGCTAGGGGTAGTGCTAGGGGCTAGGGGTAGTGCTAGGGGCTAGAGGTAGCTCTTGGGGCTAGGGGTAGCGCTAGGGGCTAGGGGTAGCGCTAGGGGTAGCGCCACGGGCTAGGGGTAGCGCTAGGGGCTAGGGGTAGCGCTAGGGGTAGCACTAGGGGTGGCGCTAGGGGCTAGGGGTAGCGCTAGGTGCTAGGGGTAGCGCTAGGGGCTAGGGGTAGCGCTAGAGGCTAGGGGCTAGGGGTAGCGCTAGGGGCTAGGGGTAGCGCTAGGGGTAGCACTAGGGGTGGCGCTAAGGGCTAGGGGTAGCGCTAGGGGCTAGGGGTAGCGCTAGGGGCTAGGGGTAGCGCTAGGGGTAGCGCTAGAGGCTAGGGGTAGCGCTAGGGGCTAGGGGTAGCGCTAGGGGTAGTGCTAGAGGCTAGAGGTAGTGCTAGGGGCTAGGGGTAGCGCTTGGAGCTAGGGGTAGTGCTAGGAGCTAGAGGTAGCGCTAGGGGCTAGAGGTAGCGCTAGGGGCTAGGGGTAGCGCTAGGGGTAGCACTAGGGGTGGCGCTAGGGGCTAGGGGTAGCGCTAGGGGCTAGGGGTAGCGCTTGGGGCTAGGGGTAGCGCAAGGGGCTAGGGGTAGTGCTAGGAGCTAGGGGTAGTGCTAGGGGCTAGGGGTAGCGCTAGGGGTAGCGCTAGGGGTAGTGCTAGAGGCTAGGGGTAGCGCGAGGGGATATCTTGGGGCTAGATCCCGGTGTGGTGTGAGAGTTACCAAACGCTCCACGTGTGCAAGTTGAGTGCCAGGCAGTGCTGGTCCGAGTGGGGAGTGCAGTAGTGGGCCAGGGCGTGCTGCCCCTCTGAGTAGCGACCACAGCCCTGCGTGTATCCACATCACACGCAACACAACAACAACAACAACCGCCGTTCGCCAACAAGTGGCGGTGGTGTCAACGAGGTGCTTGCGCCAGGCTAGGTGCACTTCAAGGCCACGTGAAAGTGTGGCCGTGAGCGGGCATCACCTGGTGTCCGCACTTGAGACACAGCCACACGGGCGTCAGGGGAGAGTCTTCGTCGCCATCCTGGGGGTCCTCGCTGCTACCGGCAGGCGCCGGGGGGCACACGGCACAAACCCCCAGTGCCCCCCCTTTGTCCAGAGACTTCCTCACGGCCGTCTGCTCCAGCGCCTTGTTTACGTGCGAGCACGCAGCGCCTGCGTCAACAACGCCAGCAAACCGCACCGTCGACAACGACGACAACAATGCTTGTTGTTGTTGACAGAAAGAACTGACGGAGTTGCAAATGGCTGTGGTCAATGGGGGGAGAGGAGGGGGGGGGGGGGGGTACGGTGCATTTCCCTTGCTCAAGAGTGGAAAATAAGGTCCTGGGTTTGATAGATTTTGGCAGTGCACTTCCGAGGCTGGATTTTGGCCCCTTCGGAGGTGGGATTCTTTTTTTCTGTCCTCTCAGTTGAGCAGAGTAGCAGGGCCGAGGGCAGTGCACCAGGTGGTCGCGCACTTGGTGTGGTTATGTCGTGCAGCGCTGAATTGCGCTCAACTTCGCAGACCCTTTGACGGCGAGGTCCAGCCGCTGAGCAAAGGGGAAGAGCTGGACAAGGCATCGTCGAGAGCATGGCAGGGGGGAGTAGACCGGAGATTAGGGAATCAGTAGCTGCGCTTTCGAGGATGATCAGGTCAGGGTAGGGCCAGATGCAAGTGGATTGAGGTGGTGGTGACTGTAAATGGCCACGTGGGTGACGAAAAAAATTGGTGGTTTGGAAAGCCGTGAGAACAGACCAGGTCCAGAGTGTGAGAGTAAAAAGTAAAACATCGAATTGGTTCTCCGAAATTAACTTGTTGACCAGCAAAGCCTTCAGGCACCGGACGTTCAGTCGGCACTCTGCGAGTTGCGCTGTGTTAGGGAGGTGGTGTTTGAATGGGCTCCAGTTGGGTTGTACGTTTGCATGACTGTGCTACGCCAAGGGCTGTCAGGAGAGACACCATTGGTGTAGCACACAACCAATAGCGCACGAGATGAAGAAAGAGATGGGCCCCCCTTAAAATACCAAAATATTGTCGACGATGAGTTGGCAATGAATCCCAGGAGCAATGGGAGGGAGCCAGAGATTTACATTTTTTTTAAATGTGTGTATATGTAGCTCCGTTCATTCAAAACCGCACCTCGCAACGCTGCGCTGGACAACGGCAATGTAAAATATGCGCGGAGAAAAAAGATGCAACCGAATGAAAGTCTGAAGTGAACGATGAGGTTTCTTTTTTTAACGTAACTTAAGTTGTGGGACTTCATTCGGCAAGTACGGGGCGGGAGCACTGAGCGACAGGGAGAGGTGCATGCTGGGAGTTAAGACTGAGTGACAGGGAGAGGTGCATGCTGGGAGTTACACTGAGTGACAGGGAGAAGTGCATGCTGGGAGTTACACTTGACAGGGAGAGGTGCATGCTGGGAGTTACACTGAGCGACAGGGAGAGGTGCATGCTGGGAGTTAACACTGAGCGACAGGGAGAGGTGCATGCTGTGAGTTAACATTGAGTGACAGGGAGAGGTGCATGCTGGGAGTTAACACTGAGCGACAGGGAGAGGTGCATGCTGGGAGTTAAGACTGAGTGACAGGGAGAGGTGCATGCTGGGAGTTACACTGAGTGACAGGGAGAAGTGCATGCTGGGAGTTACACTTGACAGGGAAAGGTGCATGCTGGGAGTTACACTGAGCGACAGGGAGAGGTGCATGCTGGGAGTTAACACTGAGCGACAGGGAGAGGTGCATGCTGTGAGTTAACATTGAGTGACAGGGAGAGGTGCATGCTGGGAGTTAACACTGAGCGACAGGGAGAGGTGCATGCTGGGAGTTAACACTGAGCGACAGGGAGAGGTGCATGCTGGGAGTTACACTTGACAGGAAGAGGTGCATGCTGGGAGTTAACACTGAGCGACAGGGAGAGGTGCATGCTGGGAGTTAACACTGAGCGACAGGGAGAGGTGCATGCTGGGAGTTAACACTGAGTGACAGGGAGAGGTGCATGCTGGGAGTTAACACTGAGTGACAGGGAGAGGTGCATGCTGGGAGTTACACTGAGTGACAGGGAGAGGTGCATACTGGGAGTTAACACTGAGTGACAGGGAGAGGTGCATGCTGGGAGTTACACTGAGTGACAGGGAGAGGTGCATGCTGGGAGCAAACACTGAGTGACAGGGAGAGGTGCATGCTGGGAGTTAACACTGAGTGACAGGGAGAGGTGCATGCTGGGAGTTACACTGAGTGAAAGGTAGAGGTGCATGCTGGGAGTTACACTGAGTGACAGGGAGTGGTGCATGCTGGGAGTAAACACTGAGTGACAGGGAGAGGTGCACGCTGGGAGTTACACTTGACAGGGAGAGGTGCATGCTGGGAGTTACACTTGACAGGAAGAGGTGCATGCTGGGAGTTAACACTGAGCGACAGGGAGAGGTGCATGCTGGGAGTTAACACTGAGCGACAGGGAGAGGTGCATGCTGGGAGTTAACACTGAGCGACAGGGAGAGGTGCATGCTGGGAGTTAACACTGAGCGACAGGGAGAGGTGCATGCTGGGAGTTAACACTGAGCGACAGGGAGAGGTGCATGCTGGGAGTTAACACTGAGTGACAGGGAGAGGTGCATGCTGGGAGTTAACACTGAGTAACAGGGAGAGGTGCATACTGGGAGTCAACACTGAGTGACAGGGAGAGGTGCATGCTGGGAGTTAACACTGAGTGACAGGGAGAGGAGCATGCTGGGAGTTACACTGAGTGACAGGGAGAGGTGCATGCTGGGAGTTACACTGAGCGACAGGGCGAGGTGGCATGCTGGGAGTTACATTCACAGGAAGAGGTGCATGCTGGGAGTTAACACTGGACAGACAGGGAGAGGTTGCATGCTGGGAGTTAACACTGAGTGACAGGGAGAGGTGCATGCTGGGAGTGTACACTGAGTAACAGGGAGAGGTGCATACTGGGAGTTGACACTGAGTGACAGGGAGAGGTGCATGCTGGGGAGTTAACAACTGAGTGACAGGGAGAGGTGCATACTGGGAGTTAACACTGAGTGACAGGGAGAGGTGCATGCTGGGAGTTACACTGAGTGACAGGGAGAGGTGGCATGCTGGGAGCAAAACACTGAGTGACAGGGAGAGGTGCATGCTGGGAGGTTACACTTGACAGGGAGAGGTGCATGCTGGGAGTTAACACTGAGTGACAGGGAGAGGTGCATGCTGGGAGTTACACTTGACAGGGAGAGGTGCATGCTGGGAGTTAACACTGAGTAACAGGGAGAGGTGCATGCTGGGAGTTAACACTGAGCGGCAGGGAGAGGTGCATGCTGTGAGTTAACATTGAGTGACAGGGAGAGGTGCATGCTGGGAGTTAACACTGAGCGACAGGGAGAGGTGCATGCTGGGAGTTAACACTGAGCGACAGGGAGAGGGTTGCATGCTGGGAGTTACACTTGACAGGAAAAGAGGTGCATGCTGGGAGTTAACACTGAGCGACAGGGAGAGGTGCATGCTGGGAGTTAACACTGAGCGACAGGGAGAGGTGCATGCTGGGAGTTAACACTGAGTGACAGGGAGAGGTGCATCGCTGGGGAGTTAACACTGTGAGTGACAGGGAGAGGTGCATGCTGGGAGTTACACTGAGTGACAGGGAGAGGTGCATACTGGGAGTTAACACTGAGTGACAGGGAGAGGTGCATGCTGAGTTACAGGAAGAAGGAGAGTGCTGCTGGGAGTCTACACTGAGTGACAGGGAGAGGTGCATGCTGGGAGTTAAGACTGGTGACAGGGAGAGGTGCATGCTGGAGTTACACTGAGTGTGACTAGGGAGAAGTGCATGCTGGGGAGTTACACTTGACAGGGAGAAGGTGCATGCTGGGAGTTAACACTGAGTAACAGGGAGAGGTGCATGCTGGGAGTTAACACTGAGCGACAGGGAGAGGTGCATGCTGTGAGTTAACATTGAGTGACAGGGAGAGGTGCATGCTGGGAGTTAACACTGAGCGACAGGGAGAGGTGCATGCTGGGAGTTAACACTGAGTGACAGGGAGAGGTGCATGCTGGGAGTTACACTTGACAGGAAGAGGTGCATGCTGGGAGTTAACACTGAGCGACAGGGAGAGGTGCATGCTGGGAGTTAACACTGAGCGACAGGAGAGGTGCATGCTGGGAGTTAACACTGAGTGACAGGGAGAGGTGCATCCTGGGAGTTAACACTGAGTGACAGGGAGAGGTGCATGCTGGGAGTTACACTGAGTGACAGGGAGAGGTGCATACTGGGAGTTAACACTGAGTGACAGGGAGAGGTGCATGCTGGGAGTTACACTGAGTGACAGGGAGAGGTGCATGCTGGGAGCAAACACTGAGTGACAGGGAGAGGTGCATGCTGGGGAGTTAACACTGAGTGACAGGGAGAGGTGCATGCTGGGAGTTACACTGAGTGAAAGGTAGAGGTGCATGCTGGGAGTTACACTGAGTGACAGGGAGTGGTGCATGCTGGGAGTAAACACTGAGTGACAGGGAGAGGTGCACGCTGGGAGTTACACTTGACAGGGAGAGGTGCATGCTGGGAGTTACAACTTGACAGGAAGAGGTGCATGCTGGGAGTTAACACTGAGCGACAGGGAGAGGTGCATGCTGGGGAGTTAACACTGAGCGACAGGGAGAGGTGCATGCTGGGAGTTAACACTGAGCGACAGGGAGAGGTGCATGCTGGGAGTTAACACTGAGCGACAGGGAGAGGTGCATGCTGGAGTTAACACTGAGCGACAGGGAGAGGTGCATGCTGGGAGTTAACACTGAGTGACAGGGAGAGGTGCATGCTGGGAGTTAACACTGAGTAACAGGGAGAGGTGCATACTGGAGGAGTCCAAACACTGACAGTGACAGGGAGAGGCTGCATGCTGGGAGTTAACAACTGAGTGACAGGGAGAGAGCATGCTGGAGTTACACTGAGTGCAGGGAGAGGTGCATGCTGGGAGTTTACACTGAGCGACAGGGGAGAGGTGCATGCTGGGAGTTACATTTCACAGGAAGGAGGTGTGCATGCTGGAGTTAACACTGACAGACAGGGAGAGGTGCATGCTGGGAGTTAACACTGAGTGACAGGGAGAGGTGCATGCTGGGAGTTAACACTGAGTAACAGGGAGAGGTGCATACTGGGAGTTACACTGAGTGACAGGGAGAGGTGCATGCTGGGAGTTAACACTGAGTGACAGGGAGAGGTGCATACTGGGAGTTAACACTGAGTGACAGGGAGAGGTGCATGCTGGGAGTTACACTGAGTGACAGGGAGAGGTGCATGCTGGGAGCAAACACTGAGTGACAGGGAGAGGTGCATGCTGGAGTTACACTGACATGGGAGAGGTGCATGCTGGGAGTTAAACACTGGAGTGACAGGGAGAGGTGCAGCTGGGAGTTACACTTGACAGGGAGAGGTGCATTGCTGGGAGTTAACCACTGAGTAACAGGGAGAGGTGCATGCTGGGAGTTAACACTGAGCGACAGGGAGAGGTGCATGCTGTGAGTTAACATTGAGTGACAGGGAGAGGTGCATGCTGGGAGTTAACACTGCGCGACAGGGAGAGGTGCATGCTGGGAGTTAACACTGAGCGACAGGGAGAGGTGCATGCTGGGAGTTACACTTGACAGGAAGAGGTGCATGCTGGGAGTTAACACTGAGCGACAGGGAGAGGTGCATGCTGGGAGTTAACACTGAGCGACAGGGAGAGGTGCATGCTGGGAGTTACACTGAGTGACAGGGAGAGGTGCATGCTGGGAGTTAACACTGAGTGAACAGGGAGAGGTGCATGCTGGGAGTTACACTGAGTGACAGGGAGAGGTGCATACTGGGAGTTAACACTGAGTGACAGGGAGAGGTGCATGCTGGGAGTTACACTGAGTGACAGGGAGAGGTGCATGCTGGGAGCAAACACTGAGTGACAGGGAGAGGTGCATGCTGGGAGTTAACACTGAGTGACAGGGAGAGGTGCATGCTGGGAGTTACACTGAGTGAAAGGTAGAGGTGCATGCTGGGAGTTACACTGAGTGACAGGGAGTGGTGCATGCTGGGAGTAAACACTGAGTGACAGGGAGAGGTGCACGCTGGAGTTACACTTGACAGGGAGAGGTGCATGCTGGGAGTTACACTTGACAGGAAGAGGTGCATGCTGGGAGTTAACACTGAGCGACAGGGAGAGGTGCATGCTGGGAGTTAACACTGAGCGACAGGGAGAGGTGCATGCTGGGAGTTAACACTGAGCGACAGGGAGAGGTGCATGCTGGGAGTTAACACTGAGCAACAGGGAGAGGTGCATGCTGGGAGTTAACACTGAGCGACAGGGAGAGGTGCATGCTGGGAGTTAACACTGAGTGACAGGGAGAGGTGCATGCTGGGAGTTAACACTGAGTAACAGGGAGAGGTGCATACTGGGAGTTAACACTGAGTGACAGGGAGAGGTGCATGCTGGGAGTTAACACTGAGTGACAGGGAGAGGAGCATGCTGGGAGTTACACTGAGTGACAGGGAGAGGTGCATGCTGGGAGTTACACTGAGCGACAGGGAGAGGTGCATGCTGGGAGTTACATTTGACAGGAAGAGGTGCATGCTGGGAGTTAACACTGACAGACAGGGAGAGGTGCATGCTGGGAGTTAACACTGAGTGACAGGGAGAGGTGCATGCTGGGAGTTAACACTGAGTAACAGGGAGAGGTGCATACTGGGAGTTACACTGAGTGACAGGGAGAGGTGCATGCTGGGAGTTAACACTGAGTGACAGGGAGAGGTGCATACTGGGAGTTAACACTGAGTGACAGGGAGAGGTGCATGCTGGGAGTTACACTGAGTGACAGGGAGAGGTGCATGCTGGGATCAAAACACTGAGTGACAGGGAGAGGTGCATGCTGGGAGTTACACTTGACAGGGAGAGGTGCATGCTGGGAGTTAACACTGAGTGACAGGGAGAGTGCATGCTGGGAGTTACACTTGACAGGGAGAGGTGCCTGCTGGGAGTTAACACTGAGTAACAGGGAAGAGGTTGCATACTGGGAGTTAACACTGAGTGACAGGGAGAGGTGCATGCTGGGAGTTACACTGAGCGACAGGGAGAGGTGCATGCTGGGAGTTAACACTGAGCGACAGGGAGAGGTGCATGCTGGGAGTTAATACTGAGTGACAGGGAGAGGTGCATGCTGGGAGTTACATTTGACAGGAAGAGGTGCATGCTGGGAGTTAACACTGACAGACAGGGAGAGGTGCATGCTGGGAGTTAACACTGAGTGACAGGGAGAGGTGCATGCTGGGAGTTAACACTGAGTAACAGGGAGAGGTGCATACTGGGAGTTACACTGAGTGACAGGGAGAGGTGCATGCTGGGAGTTAACACTGAGTGACAGGGAGAGGTGCATACTGGGAGTTAACACTGAGTGACAGGGAGAGGTGCATGCTGGGAGTTACACTGAGTGACAGGGAGAGGTGCATGCTGGGAGCAAACACTGAGTGACAGGGAGAGGTGCATGCTGGGAGTTACACTTGACAGGGAGAGGTGCATGCTGGGAGTTAACACTGAGTGACAGGGAGAGGTGCATGCTGGGAGTTACACTTGACAGGGAGAGGTGCATGCTGGGAGTTAACACTGAGCGACAGGGAGAGGTGCATGCTGGGAGTTACACTTGACAGGGAGAGGTGCATGCTGGGAGTTACACTGAGCGACAGGGAGAGGTGCATGCTGGGAGTTAACACTGAGCGACAGGGAGAGGTGCATGCTGGGAGTTAATACTGAGTGACAGGGAGAGGTGAATGCTGGGAGTTAACACTGAGCGACAGGGAGAGGTGCATGCTGGGAGTTACACTTGACAGGAAGAGGTGCATGCTGGGAGTTAACACTGAGCGACAGGGAGAGGTGCATGCTGGGAGTTAACACTGAGAGATGGATATGGATATGGCTTGGGGCCTTCATCCAGCAGTGGATAGGCCTTGGATGATGATGACAGTGATGATGGTGGTAGTGGTGATGATGTTAGTGGTGATGATGATGGTAGTGCTGATGATGATGGTGGTAGTGCTGATGATGGTGGGTAGTGCTGATGATGATGGTGGGTAGTGGCGATGATGATGGTGGGTAGTGGCGATGATGATGGTGGTAGTGGTGATGATGATGGTGGTAGTGCTGATGATGATGGTGGGTAGTGGCGATGATAATGGTGGTAGTGCTGATGATGGTGGGTAGTGCTGATGATGATGGTGGGTAGTGGTGATGATGATGGTGGTAGTGGTGATGATGATGGTGGTGGTAGTGGTGATGATGATGGTGGGTAGTGGCGATGATAATGGGTAGTGCTGATGATGATGATGGTGGGTAGTGGCCATGATGGTGGTGGTAGTGGTGATGATGGTGGTAGTGGTGATGATGATGGTGGTAGTGGTGATGATGATGGTGATTGTAGTGGTGATGATGATGGTGGTAGTAATGGTGATGATGATGGTGGTAGTGGCGATGATGATGGTGGTAGTGGCGATGATGATGGTGGTAGTGCCTATGATGGTGGTAGTGGTAATAATGGTGGTGGCCTGGCACAAGCGCCTTGGCGAATGGCATTTGTTGTTGATGACGTTGATGGTGGTTGTGGCGATGGTTGTGGTGATGGTGGTGCATTGCCACCGACCGGCTTTGCCATCCTCCGCGGCCTTGGCAGGGTCCACACTGCCCTTGTTTTTCCTCGTCTTCTTGGTCATGGCCGCATGAAGCTCACCACTGGCTACTACACCTGCACCGGCGCCCACACAAAGACCCCCAAAACCCCCGCCACGACTCATTAGTGGGGTGCAGGGGGATCCTAGGGTTTGAAGGGGGCCACTGATGGGGGTGAGAGGGGGGACACATGGGATGATCATACATCTAAAGTTACACTTTTAAAGCGCCATTGGCGCGCTGTTCACAACACACGCAGGGCTAACACCAACCACACAACTCACGATTCAATAGAAGAAAGCTCCTTAGAACGAGCGCGTCTTAAGGCGCGATTTCAATGAAGGGGAATGGGGTGGGAGGTATCAGCGGAGCGAGTGTCCAGTGGAAGTGAAGTCCACAGCGTTTGGGGGGCCGACTCATCATGGTTGTCGTTCAGAGACAGATGACCTCGGCAAAATTACAAAGATCCCCCGTGTAGCCTTAACAGACTGTAGGGGCAAGTGCTGTTAGCGGGCAGCACCTGTGAAGGCCGGCACGGTACACGAGGGGGTGGGTGGCCAGCACCACGCCCGGCCGCCTTTGTCTCCCCAGTGGCGATGTTTACTACACACCGCTACACCAGGTACTCATTTGAGGCTGAGTCTACGAAGGGGAGGCCCAGGACCGGTTTAGATAATCGTCACTGGTGTTGACCTTGAGCGGGAATCGAACCCGGGGATTAAGGGGGCCCTGATGTGGTGAGGGGGTCCTGTGTGGTGAGGGGGGTACTGTGTGGTGAGGGGGTCCTGTGGGGGATCCTGTGTGGTGAGGGGGTCCTGTAGGGGGTCCTGTGTGGTGAGGGGGTCCTGTGGGGTGAGGGGGTCCTGTGGGGGGTCCTGTGGGGGGTCCCGTGGGGTGACGGGGTCCCGTGGGGTGAGGGGGTCCCGTGGGGTGAGGGGGTCCTGTGGGGGGTCCCGTGGGGTGAGGGGGTCCTGTGGGGTGAGGGGGTCCTGTGGGGTGAGGGGGTCCTGTGGGGGGTCCCGTGGGGTGAGGGGGTCCTGTGTGGTGAGGGGGTCCTGTAGGGGGTCCTGTGTGGTGAGGGATCCTGTGGGGGGTCCTGTGGGGTGAGGGGGTCCCGTGGGGTGAGGGGGTCCCGTGGGGTGAGGGGGTCCTGTGGGGGGTCCTGTATGGTGAGGGGGGTCCTGTGGGGTGAGGGTGTCAGGGTGTTGCGGCATCAGATTAGAGGGACAGGTTTCCCCAAAGTGGTTCGGAAACAATTCGTGTCATCATCACGCGCCGCGTCTCCCTGGTGCGTCGGGGGTGGTGGTGTTGATGATGTTGTTGTTGATGATGTTGGTGGTGATGATGATGGTGGTGATGATGATGGTGGTGATTATGATGTTGGTGGTGATGATGTTGGTGTTGGTGATGTTGGTGGTGATGATGATGTTGGTGATGTTGGTGTTGATGATGTTGGTGTTGATGATGTTGGTGTTGATGATGTTGGTGTTGATGATGTTGGTGGTGATGATGTTGGTGGTGATGATGTTGGTGGTGATGATGTTGGTGGTGATGATGATGTTGGTGATGTTGGTGTTGATGATGTTGGTGTTGATGGTGATGTTGGTGTTGATGGTGATGGTGGTGTTGATGATGTTGGTGGTGATGATGTTGGTGTTGATGGTGATGTTGGTGTTGATGATGTTGGTGGTGATGATGTTGGTGTTGATGGTGATGTTGGTGGTGATGATTTGGTGTTGGTGGTGATGTTGGTGATGATGTTGGTGGTGATGTTGATGGTGTTGATGATGATGTTGGTGATGGTGTTGGTGGTGTTGGTGATGATGTTGGTGATGGTGTTGGTGATGATGGTGGTGATGATGTTGATGGTGATGATGTTGGTGATGATGTTGGTGATGGTGTTGATGATGATGGTGTTGATGATGGTGATGGTGGTGATGTTCGACTCCGCGTGTCGCTACCTCCTTTGCCGCTTTGCGTCTCCCTCGTGCAGGCGAAGCGAGGAGCCCGACCGGGAAGGCGGAGAAGAGAGCGAGGAGACAGAGGCGAGAGAGCGGAGCCTGTGGGGACGGCGGGAGCGAGCCAAGAGTTCACGTCGAAGGGAAGAGAGTGGAGAGAGCGCGGGGAGAGAGTTTGAGGGGGGAGAGTTTGAGGGGAGTAGCGAGGGGGGAGAGTTCAGGAGCTGGGTCCACGCGGCGCCCTGACGTCTTCCGCTTCCGCCTTCCGCGCACGTGACTCCACCCACGTGACCCCCACCCACGTGACCCCCACGCACGTGGACCGCACCCAGCGAACAGCGTACGGGAAATAATAAAATACTAAAAATATAAAACAATTAAATTCTCACGACGTTTCGACTGCAACACAAGCAATCATCATCAGGTGTGAAAACCACAGCAAGAAAATTTGAAAAAAGTGGCGGGTTTTTTTAACGTCAGCACCACGGAGAGCGATTTGACAGTTTATTCAGATGGACGAGTCCATCTATGTTCGGAAAAGAGGAGGGGGGGAGACGAAAAGAATGGATGCGGTCTGAAAGCCACCTTAAGCGTGAACAATCAATTAAGACCCGAAATGGTTTATCAAATCCTTCCAATGATTGCTAAGCCAGAATCCATCTTCTCGGTTGTGTTGCAGTCTAAACTTCGTGAGAATTTTATTGTTTTATATTTTTTTATTATTTTATTGTTTCCCTTCTACGTGACTTTACCGAAAGAACCAAGAATATGAATCCCTGCAGTCACGAAAGATTTAAATCGAAATTTAGCGTCCGAGAAGTTTTCTTTGTCGACTGCGTGAGAAATCCGATGAGCTAGGAAGCTCTTCTTTGTTGTTCCCCTTACAAATGTCGAGTAACAACCACGTGGGTTCTCAGCACAGTACGGCACTGTACTGCCTCAAGTCTATCTCAACCAACCCATCGTGAAATTATACTCACTTCATACCAAGGACGTAGCCATGGAGTCAACATTGGGGGTGGACCAAATCTTCCAGGGGGTCTGGGGGGTCCCAACCCAGAAAAATCTATCTAAATTTGAAAACTCATTTCCTGCCTAAAATATAAAAAATAACTAACACATGGGATGGACTTTTCATTTATTTTTTAACAATAATGTCTAAAAGTGTTATTGTATTACGTTGCTCTGTTTTTACTTTTTTACCATTTCTTGTTTCATTGTATGTAATGGCAGATATTAGGGATTAATAAAGTACAACCGTAGCCACAATCATATAAACATTAATTTATGCATTGATTTAAAGGAAGACAAGTCCACATATTGTGGCCAAGGTTTAGCAAATTGTTGTTTTTAGTTACATAGCATTGTAATAATTTTTATAGCAATATATTGGGGGGGGACATTTTGAGCAGATTTGATCTGTGTCCCCAAATATATATTATAATTACGGCCTTGCTTCATACAGTCACGTCGGTATAAAAATAATAGATCACGACGTTTTGATCGCAACACAAGCAATCGCCATCAGGTGGGACAACCACAGCAAGAAAAATAACTGATGAGGTAGGCTCAGCAGCTGTCAACACATAGACACAGCTGTCAACCCATAGATTCAGCTGTCAACCCATAGACACAGCCGTCAACCCATAGACACAGCTATCAACCCATAGACACAGCTGTCAACCCATAGACACGGCCGCAACCCATAGACACGGCTGTCAACCCATAGACACAGCCGTCAACCCATAGACACGGCTGTCAACCCATATACACATTCTTCAACCCATAGACACAGCTGTCAACCCATAGACACATTCGTCAACCCATAGACACAGCTGTCAACCCATAGACACGGCCGTCAACCCATAGACACAGCAGTCAACCCATAGACACAGCAGTCAACCCATAGACACATTCGTCAACCCATAGACACGGCTGTCAACCCATAGACACAGCTGTCAACCCATAGACACATTCGTCAACCCATAGACACAGCTGTCAACCCATAGACACATTCGTCAACCCATAGACACGGCTGTCAACCCATAGACACATTCGTCAACCCATAGACACAGCTGTCAACCCATAGACACAGCTGTCAACCCATAGACACATTCGTCAACCCATAGACACAGCTGTCAACCCATAGACACAGCAGTCAACCCATAGACACAGCAGTCAACCCATAGACACAGCCGTCAACCCATAGACACAGCAGTCAACCCATAGACACAGCTGTCAACCCATAGACACAGCTGTCAACCCATAGACACAGCTGTCAACCCATAGACACAGCCGTCAACCCATATACACATTCTTCAACCCATAGACACAGCTGTCAACCCATAGACACGGCCGTCAACCCATAGACACAGCAGTCAACCCATAGACACAGCTGTCAACCCATAGACACGGCTGTCAACCCATAGACACAGCTGTCAACCCATAGACACAGCCGTCAACCCATAGACACAGCAGTCAACCCATAGACACAGCAGTCAACCCATAGACACAGCTGTCAACCCATAGACACAGCTGTCAACCCATAGACACAGCCGTCAACCCATAGACACATTCGTCAACCCATAGACACAGCTGTCAACCCATAGACACAGCCGTCAACCCATAGACACAGCAGTCAACCCATAGACACAGCTGTCAACCCATAGACTCAGCTGTTAACCCATAGACACGGCTGTCAACCCATAGACACAGCTGTCAACCCATAGACACAGCTGTCAACCCATAGACACAGCTGTCAACCCATAGACACAGCTGTCAACCCATAGACACAGCCGTCAACCCATAGACACAGCTGTTAACCCATAGACACGGCTGTCAACCCATAGACACAACTGTCAACCCATAGACACAGCCGTCAACCCATAGACACAGCTGTCAACCCATAGACACAGCCGTCAACCCATAGACACAGCTGTCAACCCATAGACACAGCTGTCAACCCATAGACGGTGTTCCCGTGTCCATGCGGCGGACAGCTTCGTCAAGACGGGCAAACAGAATGTCTACTTATTTCTGTCTGTGTGTCTGTGTGTGTCTGTGTGTGTGTGTCTGTGTGTGTCTGTGTGAGTGTGTCTGTGTGTCAGTGTCTGTGTGTCAGTGTGTGTGTGTGTCTCACTCCGAATCAGTCGAGCGGCAATATCTTTTCATCGGTTGCGTAACGCTGTGTGGAAGCTACCTGGTCTGTCGCTCCGCACTAAGCGTCAGGTCTTCTCGGCCACGGTCATTCCCTCCCTTCTCTACGCTTGCGAAACGTGGACCCCTCTAATGGAACATCTTCGCCGGTTAGAAACATTTAGGCTGGCCTGCCTACGATCCATCCTGGGTTTAACCAGACTGGATTGTGTGAGGAGCTCACAAATCCTTGAAAGATCTGGGCAAGGTCCCATCGGTGAGCTCCTCTGGCGGGCAAGGCTGCGATTCCTGGGTCATGTAGCCCGCATGCCCAGCCAACGCATGCCTAAACAGCTTTTGTTCGGCCGGATTGAGGGGGCTAAGCGGGCGCGGCACGGGCTAGAGAAGAGATGGAGTGATGTGGTACAGGAGGACGTGGAGCTGAGTGGACTTGCCGATGACTGGTACCAGCGGTGTCAAGATCGACCTCTGTGGAGGAGGCTCGTGAAGGATGCTACTTGGCAGTTGGAGGTAGTCGCCCTCCAACAACAACGGAGGGCGGAGGAGCGACGCTCACAACAACGAGCGGAGCGCCGGGTGGCTAAAGCACAGCAGGTTGGCACAGTAGGGGGCACAGGTGGTGCATCAGCCAGTCATCTCAGTCAGTCGACCCGTAGCACCTGGGTCTGCCCCGTGACCTCCTGCCAGCGGGCATTCGACACTTCACGTGGCCTCAGGGTGCACATAGCCTGGCACAAGCGTCGTGGTGACGTCACCGCCACTTAGTGGCGAATGGCGGTTGTTGTTGTTGTGTGTGTCTGTGTGTGTGTGTCTGTGTGTGTGTCTGTGTATGGGCAAGGTCCCATCGGTGAGCTCCTCTGGCGGGCAAGGCTGCTATGGCTGGGTCATGTAGCCTGCATGCCCAGCCACCGCATGCCGAAACAGCTTTTGTTCGGCCGGATTGAAGGGGCGAAACGGGCGCGGCACGGGCTAGAGAAGAGACTGAGTGACGTGGTACAGGGGGGACGTGGAGCTGAGTGGACTTGCCGATGACTGGTACCAGCGGTGTCAAGATCGGCCTCTGTGGAGGAGGCTCGTGAAGGACGCTTCTGGGCAATTGGAGGTAGTCGCCCTCCACCAACAACGGAGGGCGGAGGAGCGACGCTCACAACAACGAGCGGAGCGCCGGATGGCTGAAGCACAGCGGGTTGGCACAGTAGGGGGCACAGGTGGTGCATCAGCCAGTCATCTCAGTCAGTCGACCCGTGGCACCTGGGTCTGCCCCGTGACCTCCTGCCAGTGGGCGTTTTGACACTTCACGTGGCCTTAGGGTGCACATGGCCTGGCACAAGCATCATGGTGACGTCACCGCCACTTAGTGGCGAATGGCGGTTGTTGTGTTGTTGTGTTGTTGTCTGTGTGTGTGTCTGTGTGTGTGTGTCTGTGTCTGTGTGTCTCTTGTGATGGGACGTTGTAGGATGAACGCTGAGATTTATAAGAGGCACGGGGTGACCGATAAGGTCTGACTTTGTAATGAGGCAGGCACTGGTAAGGGGTTGACAGGTTTGCAAATACTCTGAACGCAAGTTCCTAAATGTGGAGGAGAAAAATCCACGCGACCATGGGGGGAGAGAGAGACACGCAGACTCCAAATATACAGCAGCAGGCGTCAGGGTTGGGATCGAACCCACGACCTCCTGTATACCAGGCGAGGTAGTTAACATCTCCTAGACCACGTGATGATGCTGACGAGAGAGAGAGACACGCAGACTCCAAATATTCAGCAGCAGGCGTCAGGGTCGGGATCGAACCCACGACCTCCTGTACACCAGGCGAGGTAGTTAACATCTAGACACTGTGATGATGAGAGAGAGAGAGACGCGGAAACTTCAAATATACAGCAGCAGCAGGCGTCAGGGTCGGGATCGAACCCACGACCTCCTGTATACCAGGCGAGGTAGTTAACATCTCCTAGCCACTGTGATGATGATGAGAGAGAGAAACACGGACACTTCAAATATACAGCAGCAGCAGGCGTCAGGGTCGGGATCGAACCCACGACCTCCTGTATACCAGGCGAGGTAGTTAACATCTCCTAGCCAACGTGATGATGATGATGATGAGAGAGAGAGACACGCAGACTCCAAATATACAGCAGCAGGCG